CCGCACGGTGAATAAATTCACACGAAGACATAAGGTATATGAATCCCGAAGGATACTTGCTAGGCCCGCACGGTGAATAAATTCACACGAAGGCATCGCTTTTACCCCCACTTAAATAGGGTTCAGAGCTCAGGTATAGAGCCTTAGATGAAAAATGAGTTTGAAATGATAAAATCATTAGAAAACGGTTAGTACAACTATTTATTCAAAAATATAATCAAAAGTAAATAATAAGGATCAAAATGTTACATTAAAATTTAAACTTACCCTTTTCGTTAAAAGACAACTGGAAATTACCTTAGCCTGACTCACTTACCTGTCCCCAGCGGAGTCGCCAAGCTGTCGGAACCGTCTTTCGGTTGGGCCCTTAATTGGGCTTCGACTTGGATTAAATGATTTAGGAGTCGCCACCGATCAATTATTTTAAAACAAATGGGTTGATCGGATACCTTATTTCTTACCTGATCTGCGTCTTACCAAAGATGTGTCAGATTCGGGAGTCGGTTACAGTCAAGGAAGGGTTAGCACCCTTGAACTGCTCTTTCGGTACTACGTAATTTCCAGTTGTCTTAATTAAAAAAGTTGTAAATTTAAATTAAAAGGTAAAATGACGATCCAAATTACTTACCTCTAACGATTTTGAAAATGTACCCTTAAAGAATCAAGAAAAGCGTTAGAAAAACAAAAGTGATGAAAATCAATTGAAATTAAGGAAAATGAAATAAAGAAGAGAAAATAAATAAATAAATAAATAAATAATAACAGATAAAATAAAGACAAAAGGTAAACAACATAATTAATATGGAGATAGTGAAAATGAAAGGAATAAAAATAAAGACAAAATAGAATAAGATGAATAAAGAAAAAATATAAATAAATAAAATAAGAAAAATAAATCAATAAAATAAATAAACCAAAACGAGGAAAAAAAGATAAAATAAAAGAAATAAAATATAAATATATATATTACCTTGTAAACTAAAAAATAAATAAAATAATATTAAGAAATAAAATAATATATATATATAATATAACATATAAATAAAATAAATAAATAGTAAAAATAGTAATAATACATGTATATACAATAAAATATAAGAAATAAAATAATAATAATAATATGAAGGAATAATATCAAATATGTATATAAATATTATAATGTAATATTAAATGAAAATAAAATTTAAAATTTATAAAAGGACTAAATTGTAAAGAAAAAGAAATCGAGTGACAAATTAAAAGAGAATCAAGTTTAAAAATTGATTTCAGGGTCAAAATATAAGTTTTCAAAGTAGGAGGGTCCAAAAGCATAATTTTCCCTTTTTAAAAGCCAAAATACGCGGATCCTCATGTATCTAGGTCGGGTTGAAATGGGCTTACTATATAACTTAAAAAAATTAAAAGCCTTCATTTGTTTCATTTTGAAAACCAGAGCCCTCCCTTTCTCTCGTTTTTCTCTGGCTTGTTCATATGAATGATGAACACACCGCCGCATGTTTCCTGAAAATCGGTGGCGTCGCCGACCGCCGATCATCGGCCGTGAAACCCTCATTTATTTTAATCGATCGAAAGCCCAAACCTCCCTGAATACAAAAATCAAAGTAGTTTTTCAAAAAAATCTCGGCAAAACATAGATCTAGGATGAAAACTTCGACCACACCCCCCTCATTTCATCGGTGGTGGGTTTTAAAACTCAAGAACAACAACATGCAAGTACATAATGAATCGAAAAGGTAAAAATGATACATTTGTTCTTATTTCTCTTTCGAAAAAAAAAAATCCTTTACAAACGTTTCGAACTTTCTGCGTATTTCTTGTGGATTTGTGTAATATGCGTGTGTAATCGTGTGATATTGTGTAAATCTCTCTGTGAATCGTATGAAAATCCTCCCCCCAACCTTAGTCTAGTTACATCATTTTATAGGAATGAAAGTCCTATTTTTAGACTCAGTTATAGAGTACTAATCTAATTATAATGCTCATATGTGTTGCTGGTTGTTAGTGGCGTGAGAATCGCCAGAAAATTCGGTGAGGCGTGAGGCGTGGAGACTTCGAACAGTGCAGCGCTGAACTGCGAGGTGGAAAGCAACAGGAACATCATAAACCCTCATCTGCCCTTAGGGTTTCACGTTGGGTCGGACACAGGTGGGCCTGGTTACTGGGCCGTTCTTAGTTTTGTAATAGGTTTCGCTTGGGCCTGTAAGAAGAGAGAGAGAATGTAAATAGCATATAAATTATACAATACATAATATATAGTATATAATCATATTTTTTTATATTTTTTATATAAGGACGAAAGATAGTGTCTACATATACATTTTACAATACTTATTTATTTAAGAATAAATATTATTTATAAAATGAGAAAGAAAGAAAGATTTTACATGCGTTGGTTGTATTGTATGATTTTTATCTTGGGTAAACTATGCAAATAGTCCTTTTGTTTAGGGTCTGACCGATTTTTGTCACCAATTTAAAAATTAAGGGTAAATGGTCCCTCTCATTATTAGTTCGTGCGGTATAAGTCCCTTTACTATTAATTTCCATTAACCCCTTTTTTAAGTCCCTTTTGTTTAAGTCCCTAACATGGTTGAGGAACTAAAATTGAACGGGAGTTAACGGCTGAAGGACTAAAATCGAACGGAACGATAACATTAAGGACTAAAATCAAACTTATCAATAATGTTAGGTACAATTTCCTCTTAATTTTTAAATTAGTAACTAAAATAGGTCAGGCCGAAAATATAGGGGACTATTCGCATGGTTTATCCTTTTATCTTTAATGTACTATTCATGCTCATGAGTCATGAATGTATACACAACTTTTGAATCTTAACTTTATGATATTTATGGTACTAATATTTTTTTTTTGAGAAGTATACTTTTATAGAGATAACATGAGGACAATTTAATTGATAATTTTGTAGAAATGATTAGAGGCACAGGCAACTCATTCACTTCTTTACCAAAGAAAAAATGCTGGAACACGTGGCTGAAAGTAAATTAATTTAATTGGATTTTACATTTTTACCTATAAGATTAGATTAATTTGAATTGCTGCCTATTAATTTTTTTTTTGTTCATGAATTTTATGATGTGTTTTTAAGTGGATTTTAATGGTACTATTAGCCTTTTAAAGTGAGAGTGATATACTTTATATCTTAAAATCAATCATTATATAATTTAGACTGAGTAAAATCATACAATTTAAATATTAAAATAATCATTAAAATACAATTTATATTTTTAATTTGTTTTGTTATAAAACATATTAAAATGTGGGGAAATATATTATGTAAATTATAAATGGTTAATGGAGAAAAGTGTAATAACATGAAAGTGTCTGGCTTAGATTGGTTCTATGAAAGATTTGGTATTTAAGAGTGTGCGCTACCTCTATTTCTTAAAAACTTACCTAATGCATTGTTCATTTTTATGCTTACAATTTTAATTTATAAATACCGTGACAAGTTGACATCTTTTATAATTTAGTAAAGAAGTTAAAAATAAAATTTGATAATCTTATTAAGCTAAGGTTTTTTTGTCATAGTAGATAAAAATGGTCTCTTCAAAGATATGCTTTGATTAATGTGAACAAACAAATGGTGCTACAAAAATTTTGTACTTATTAAATATTAATGGTTATACTCCCACAAATGGAGATAAGATAGGATGCTATTTATACTCGCAAATTTTAAAATTTGTAAGGTTAAACTTTTTAAATACTCTTAATGATTTTACATTCCTATTATGAGTGGTTTATATTGAGATAGACTTGACTACGTAAGTGTTAAGAACTACTAATCTTTTATAAAAGACTTTGGACTATCTTTCTAGATCACTTACTAGCATCTCGAGATTTATAGGCTAAAATTGTTTATCTATTGTGAAACTCATTTGGAGAAAACATTAGTCGTGTGCTATCAGTTTAGTTCTATTTTAACAAGTTCTAGATTTATTCACTTGTTAAGAGAAGAATTGTTCATTTCACTATTTATTAGTTTTAAATACGTTATCTAATACTTAAGCAACTAATTTTGTTATTGTTCTTTTCTACTTTTTTTTAAAATATATTTCTTTGCATTAATGGGAGATTGTTGGATAATATAAATAAAAATTCTTTCAATATTTTGAATAAAATTTATTTTTATTTTATGTAGATTTTTGAGGCGGTTGAGATTTTTATAATACCGCTTCCATCTTATTTATTGATTTATCCATGTTTTTACCCTTAAAAATACCAAATTCCAACCTATTATTTTACACCCAAAAATTAATTGTTTATTTACAGTTTCTCTCTTCGTATTTTCAAAAAGAGCAATATCAAATGTGTTCCACTACTTTATTTTGGGTGTACGACATTTGAAAAATTATGTTAATCTTAAAAGAAACGTTCACTTTTGGGATTATAACAATCTAGGCGAAATTATTTCTAAGACATTGAATTTCGTCACAACACAATAATTATATAATTTTTCTTCTATTATTATTATTAGCATTCTCATAATTATTTATAATATTCAATACTAATGCTTTTTTTTTTTGCAACAATTAGTTTATTAACAAATATTTCACTATTTAAATGTTATTAGCAAAAAAAAATATTTAACTTCTTTATAACATGTGAATCAGGAACATGATTTTATGTTGGTGGTAAATTTATAAAATTCTAGTGGAGAATGAATTTATAAAATTTTAAGAAACGAAAATAGATTTTCAATAAAAAATAAAAAAAATATCTAAAATATATATAAATTTCAAACTTTTAGAGAAGACGACTGCCCTCACCTACTCCCCTAGGTCCATCCCTAATACGAATTAACATCGACTAAACATGATACATTTAGGAAAATCATCCCAAATTTTGCGTTGAACATTATTAAATTGTCTATTAAAAAGCATAACAGAGAAACTTGTACAAAAAAAAAAAAAACTCTCAAAGGGCATGCGACCATCAAAATCCTAAACTGTGGAGATATCACGTAAACACATATTTTGTCCTAGAAGTTTAATTTGCCATCAAATATTTGATAAAATTGCCAATTAGCCGGTGCAACATTATGAAACTCGATCATTTTTCCGTCACCGGTCGTCACTCGAAACGACAAGCTTTGCCCTCTTAAGTTCATTCCGGTCTGCCAATTCACACCCCAATTGCGGCTCATCGACCACCACGATCGGGTCCTCGAACCCTTGATTTTAACATCCTTGATATCACCAGCGCCACCAACATTGTACAACAGCACCAGAGTCCACCAAGGGTTTCCCTTAATCTGGAATTGAACCCCACCTTTCTTATGGCACAAAACACGTCGATAATTGACGGGGATGATCCCGGCTTTATATACCGTCAGTTTGGTGAACATTGGCATTGACAGATCAAAGTGCTTCAATGGCGGATTGCACCAATTCCCGTCCGGTTTCGTGTAATTCGGAGGGCAAAAATTGGTTGCGGTCACCTTGATAGAGCCGGCATGTGGATAACACCATTGAGGGTCATTGTGACACTTGATCTCGAAACAAGCTCCGCAGGTCAGGCCGTTGTTGAACAACGCTGTGCTCAGTGCCGTCGTCTCGAGTCCATACCCTTGCTTGAATAGATCACCATATCCGCAAGCTCCCACTACAAAAACCCAAACATGAATTGCACGTAAATAAATTAATAAAGTCATGAATTCGAATCCAGATATCTTCGATGAATAGTATTTGTACTTACGCATGGTTTCACCACCAGTCATATCACCATAAAATGTTGCATGTGCATCGTACCAGTTTGAGTCAATCCTTTGAGTACCCATATGTATATGCCTCTTGGCTGCCGTGGATGAAACTGAAAGAGCTATGAACATCACAAATGAAAAGAAAAGCTTTAGGGCAACCATTGCTGAAAGAAAAAGATTGAAATTATAAAGTTGAACTATTTTTTTTTCAATGAAAAACTGAGTACATGAAGGGATATATAAATACAATCCAGGTAAAATTACAAAAGGGAAGTAATTTTATGAATCACGAGACTTCAAATTTTACCCATTTAAGCAAAACCACCATTTTGGTTTACTAAAACAAAAATAGTGAAAAAGAATCACTCCTTAGGGAAGAAATTAAATGTTGTTTATAATTTTGGGAATAAACAGCAGAAAAAGATTAATTCATTCAATATATACAGTAATTATGTGGGAAATCAATTAACTCAATGTGGAAAAAGAAAAAAAACTAAAAAGCTATTAATTCTTTAAAGGGTAAAGTACACAAATGGTCCCTGACTATAGCATATGGCTTTGTTGAGTCCCCTGACTATTAAAAGTTACAAAATAATTCTCCGACTATAGGGTGTTTCTTTGTTGAGTCCTTTGACTATTAAAATTTACAAAATGGTCACCCGACTATTCATTATGTTTCAAACTCATCATTTTCTGTTAAAAACATTGACGACCGTCTGAGGTAGACATTAACATGCTAGCTGATATATAATAGTCGTTTGAGATTATAAGGTCAGTTTTTTTTCATATATCAGTCAGCAGGTTAACATCCAGCTCAGATTGTTGTTAATTTTTTAATGAAAAAGGACGAGTTTGGAACATAATAAATAGAGGGGTGACCATTTTGTAACTTATAACAGTCGAGAGACTCAACAAAGCAATACCCTGTAGTAGGAGTACCATTTTGTAACTTTTAATAGTCTGGGGAATTAACAAAATAGTATGATATAGTTAGAGGATCATTTGTGTACTTACCCACTATTTATAATTATATATGTATTAAATGTACATGATTAACAAAGTCTGGTTATTTGAATCCTATTGTCACCAATTAAGAAATACATTAAACTGCTATTTTAGAAGAAAATTTCTGAAGCATTGCTTTTATTGAATTTAACAGTAATACGTAACAGCCCTAAATTTACATTCTTAAAATAGCACTTTGGCACTTGTATGATTTTCTTAACTGATTTTATGAAGGAAAAAAATTTGGTGAAACTACTTGTAAGGTTCCTATATTTTTGGTGAAAGCAGTTTGGCGCTGATATGATTTTCTCATCAATATGATGTTCTTCTATATATAATTGATCACGTCTGACCATGCTCGTGCCAAAAAATGTGGAGACTATATGTTATTTTTAAAAAAATGAAACTCCTAAAATATTTTATTATAAGGTAAATTTATCAAAATCTACCAAATTACGATTGTTTCTTACAAATAAAAAAAAATCTAAACATGTAAAACTAAGACGATGACACAAAACAACTTTATAATCGTGATATTTTATTTTAAAAATGTCATCCTTCGAAAGAACTTTGGCACTGGTATGATTTTCTTAATAATATGATTTTCTTATATATATATATATATATAATTGATCACATCTGATCAGACCCGCCTCAAAAGATATGCAGACTATGTGCTACTTTTTAAATTGAAACTCTTAAAACATTTTATAATAAGGTGAAATTATGAAATATCACAATTTATCATACTACAATTGTTTCTTACAAAATAATAAAAAATAAACATATAAAACTAAAACAATGTCACAAAATAATTTTATAATTGTGGTATTTTATTTAAAAAGTGTTATCCTTAAAAAGCTTTAAAAAAATCATGATTGTTTTTAAAGTGTAGACCACTCAAATTTACTAATTTGACCTTATAGATGAACGAGTCTACATCTGACCTTTAACTTAAAATATTTAAATTATATTTTACCACCCTATGTGAGATTTTTATACCATTTTTTATAAAATTATTTATATAAAAATTAATTAACTTTGTTTATATAAGTTTTACCAAAATTTTAATTAAAATATTATTTATATTATAAGTTCTATAATAATTGCATTCCTATGCATTTTACTAGTTGAAGAGTAGTTAAATATAAAAACCTATAGGACATAATTTCTCCTCTTTATGAAATCATATGCACTCAAAATATAATACATTAAAGACTTACCTTAATGTTCATCAGATTAAATGAAACAATTTTTGTACTATGCCAAAATGAATTAAAAATTTTAAGAAATAATATCAAGTGATTCAAATTTTAAATGAAATTAATAATAAAATTGTTTAATTTTTCAAATAAGATTTTATGATATATCAACAGAAAAAGAAGATATTTTTATAGAGTAAAAGTGTTCATAGGTGGAGTTTACAAAATTTATATTTCTTGTTTAAATTCGAAATACTTTTATAGGTTTAATGGAAAAATAAGTATTTAAATTATATCATTTGTTTATTTTACGTGTCTAAAGTATTTTTTTGTTCATAGGTGTCTAACATTTTGAACATTACTATTTTAAGTGTATGGTCCATAACAGTCGTTAAAAAATTGTTATTTGAAACATGTTGTGTTTATATTTTGATATATTTTTATGAGGTGACTACCAAAAAAAAATATTTTGATATATTTTTGTATAGAGTAAAAGTGCTCCTAGGTAGAGTTTACAATTCTTTTTATTTTCTTGTTCAAGCTCCGATGATAGGGATGGGAAATTTGGGATCAAACTTAATTCTTATTAAAATTCTAAATCTAAAATTGAATAAACAATGGATTAATGTAATGGCCTGGATTTTCATGTCGACGTATGAGAGTTGATTTAAAATAGTTATGGGTATGCTTAGGCGAATAATTGAACTCTTGAGGCAAATTAGCTCTCATTCGGAGAGGATTGAGCTCATTTGGGCTTATGAAAATGAAGAACTTCAGATGGAAGATAAATGTATAGGGACCTAAAGGTAATTATCCCATTGAGAAATTTTATGGCTGATTCTTCTCTTATTTCTCTCCAATTTAACGTGGGTAGAAGTCTTCAAATCAATCCGTTACAGTTAACCATAATTATTAATCGAGGTAAGCTCTATATTTTATAGGTTAATTAATTATACTGTTAAGATTTAACGATTTCATCGAATCGCTAAAAATATTTATTTATGATTACAATTAATGAATTTTGATAAATTGTTAACCATTGGTTAGCGTTAATAATTATAATTAATTATATTTTTTATAGAATATAATTAGAAATAAAATCAAAATAGGGACTTTAAAATCTCAAAAAAAATATGAAGGAAGCGTCGCGTAGAAAAGATTCGTTGAAGGGTGGTTCGCAAGGAAGCTTCGTTGCTGCTGGAGGGAAGAGCGGATTGCAGGGAAGGTCCGTCGTTTATGGAGGGAGGTTTAATGGGCATAGTCGGTCTGGGGTTTCTATTTTTTTCGATAACATCGGGAAAAGGGTTTCACCATTCGTCGCTGAAGTAAGTGTTCCAGGTGCTTGGAGAGGTGATCAATGTGTATATCGCGTATTGGAGTCTGAAAAGGAGATTCAGTAGGTCGACATTCACGTTGATCCGGTTTAGGACGTTAAAGGAGACGACTTGTGCTGTTGAGAAGGGTAATGGAAGATTGATCGATGGTTTCCGTATTAGAGTTTTCTCAGAGTCAAATGTTGAAAAGAAACCATCGAAAGATAAGGGAAATGGTTTTAAGGAAAGGAGGAGATTTTTGTTGCTTAGGGATACTAGAACATTTAAAGCAGCTCTCATTGGTATGGATTCTTCGAGAGGTAAACCTCATGCCAGTAGTGTTGCTGCTCCTGAAGATATTCAAGTGAGGTTAGTGGATGAGTTACCTAGCAACGATGAGTTCCAGGGCCAAATGGGATCAAGACAGATTAGTGTTTTAAAATCTGATCTGGAATGGAAAAATCGTTGCCTTGTTGGTTGGATTATGAGGATGTATAATCCAGAAATAGTGCAGGTCGCGTTAAGGTCGCAAGGATTCGATGTGAAGGTCAGTCCTTGGCACAGATTGTTGTCAATTATACAATTCTCGCGTATGGAGGAGTTACCAAGGATTTGGACTAGGCTAGATGAGTTTATGCGTTCTTGGTTCGTGGAGTTAGAGAGGTTAGAAAGATATGAGGGGAAGAGGAAGGTGAAAGTTTGGATGGTTTTACAGGATGTTCCAATAGAAGTCTGGTGTGATAGATGTTTTTCAGAGTTTGGAAGTAGATGGGGTCCTGTTATTAGAGTTGATGAAGACACGGCTAACCGCAATAGGTTTGATGAAGCTATAATCCTATTATCAGTTCAAAGAGTTTCTATGATTCCGGATAGAGTTATTTATTATAAATTAGATGTAACCAAAACCAATTGATATATTGAATGAAAAATCTAGCGCCGCCCAAAATATCGAGAACATAAACACATTGTTGAACCTCGTTAAAATTCTTATGTTCTTTTCGTTTTTTTTATCCGATTATTTAACTTTAGCATTCTTATCAAGGGAAGAAACTTCACGATTAAGATCAAAGTAGAGGATTACGATGGTGATCGGACGTTTATCGATGGTTGGTCGTCGATTGAAAGGGAAGGGGATGATAATGAATTTGAAACGGTTAGGTTCCATGGCAATGATGAGTTAGTTAATGCCGAGGAGAGTTCCGAGGGGGATGTTGAAAAACGTGCTGTTGATGAAGCCTTTTTGCAGGCTGGTGTTGATTTGGCAGTTGATGTTCAGAAAGTATTAATCACGTGCTACAGGTTGGTCCATCAAATGAAGGGCTTCATGATATTCTTGTTTACTTGGGAAGTGGGCTGATTCCTAATTTTGAGATGAATGATAATGGGCTAGTTGGTGAGCAGTGGAATTATAAGGAACCAGGCCTGGATTCATCTATTTCCCTGGATTCTAGTTTAACAGAGGTGCGTTGTGGTTCTGGAAGGTGTTTTGACTCAACCTAAACTTGGAGTTGGTTTGACTAATGTTTATGCGCCTAATGATCAAGCTGGTATGAGAGAGTTTTTTCTGCAATTGGAAGAAACTATTGTTGATATCGGGTTACCTGTTGTCATTGGTGGCAATTTTAACACTGTAAAAAGTGAC